TTCCCCTTTGACAGCATGTCTGTGCAGTAAGCAGCCACAGCAGCGCTTTCTGAAGGTGCTGTGCGTGCATACCTTGCCTCGTTAGCAATGACTGTGGCTGTATTGGCAGCCAGCGACACGTGTGGATTGTTGATTTGGAACTGCGCGCGAAACACATGTCTAAGGCTCTTCGTGCGGCGTGCCTGGGTCCAACATGCGCGCTCGTTCGCAGGCTTCCACAAAACGCCATAAACCACCGGCGAAATTCACCAATCCCGCTTGTGCGCACTGCTGGAACAACAGCCAACGAAAGGCATCAATGAAAGCAATTCGCACAGAACGATAAGCCAAAAGGATGGCGACGAAGGGCCATGTCGGGCGAGGGACGCCTCAAATACGCCAAACGAGCAGGTCGTGCGATCCCCTGTTTCAGCGGTTGGGCGTTGAACGAACGTAAATGAATGACGCGAACGAACGTAAATGCGAACGTAGCGGGTCGATGCCCACTTTGTGGCTGCTGCGGCCGCCGCTGGCACAACCGGCCGTGTTTTCTATTGGTTCGGAACTTTAATATTTACATTATAACAGAGATAGCAGCTTTACAAGTTCAGTTCTTTGCAAAAGGCAAGTCAGCCTAGAGGAGGCAGAACATGAGACAACTTAGCTCTATTCATGGCTTATGGGCTAAACGTCGGTTATAGCTTTACAACACAACACTGACATTGCTATGCGAATTACGAATCACCTGGCATACTCTGCACATGAAGAGTTGTGCAGAGTACGAGAGCCCAAAAATATAAGTGTCCGAAGTATGGCACCATACGAGCTACGCAACGAGTTAGGTATATCGGTAGAGAATGCAGCTATTCAGCCTTATCGATAGGCTATAACGTGAAGCAAGTCTCTCGCAATTACCTTTCGATAACACGCTCAGACTGCACGACTCCTGAAGTAGGCAAGCCGTCACCACCGCTAAAGCGGTGCTAGCTAGGGCTGCAAATGTCTTACTCTGCTGGAGCTGGCATCTTTGGAGGAACCTTGCGCATGCGGAGTGCGTTCTTTCTTGCGGTGGTCCTAGTGTAAGTCCATGTATCTTTGATACGATACGCTGCTTCTGCACTAAAACGCGCTCTGGAGGTGACTGCTTTACACTTCTGACCTTTGCCTTAGGGCTGCGTGGTCGGCGGGAAGCACCGACGGCGGTGAGCAATTGCATAGTTGGACTAACGAAGTGTTTCATTGCCCATGGGATCCTGATTCGTTATTCTGCATTGAGAAGTTCTAATTAACTAGACCCCTGGGCGCTCCGGAGGCGGTGCTTAGCTTTAGTCTGTCAACTACCTCTCAGAGCAATGTGCCAGAACTATTGCCGTGTGCTATGAAACGGGTTGTACCCTCTTCTTTGGTGTTGCATTATGATCCTTGCATGCATGTTGAATCTGCACTCTTGACCCGTCGTCGTTTTCTTTTATCCTGCATGCATGTTTCGCCGCGGCGGACTCCACGTTCTACGCTTATTCGCGCTGGCGGTCATTCAACCTCTCGCAGCGAGTAAGTCTTTCAGTACATTTTCTGCTTAATTTGATGTTTTTGAAGGCAGCTGAGCCACGTACGTCCGTGTCTGCCTGCTGTTAAATAAAACGGTGAAGCATAGGACTAGGCCAATGAAATCAAAGCACAGTTGTATATCCCTTTGCTAGCCGTACACGGATATACCCGTTGCTAAACACGACCAGTCACCGCAGTCAGGCTGTTGTGGCCGCCTCATACAGCAACGGGACAGTAGTAAACTAGGAGCACACCCATGCTAAACACCATAACCGGATTGCGTACAACACACGGGTGAACAAACTGATAGGGAGTCATGTATACGTGATAACTGCCCTCCCTTCCTCACACTTCATTCTCACGCTTTACCCCCCCCCATACGTGCTGCCGCCCCTTACACCCTGCTATCTATCCCCTCTATCGTATCCCTGTGTGCACGCTCGCCTCTAGCTACATGCACAACCATACAGGGCTTTACGGTTACACCTGACAAGGACTACACGCCAGGCCCGCTCAACGATGGCCTGCCGTCCTGCAAGGAAGGTCTTCTACTTTTCCTGACCGTGTTCTCAGTGTCTGGTTGTCAGTATGTGAGGATTAGGAAACGTCGACTGTAAATGCGATTGTCGTACGTTGCCAGAGTACTTAGAGAACGGTTTGGCTCAGGAAGGGTAGAGCGCCCCTTGTAGATGCACCTGGGTACGTGTCTTCTACTTACCGGCAGACAACATCCCAAAGGTGTGTGAAGAATGAATTGCTTGCGAATGAATGGGAATGGGAATAAATGGGAACAAACGTACGTACGAGGCCTTGATGGCTTATCTCCGTACACACATGCATACTATTTGGCTGAGGTAATTTAGATCGAACCAGTCAGCCCATACGGGTATGCCAGCATGCATAGAAACCGCCAGGGGGGGGAGGCGCTCTTGCCTATTTGAGGTTGCTCCATGCTGAGGGATTGCACGGGACCAGTGTTTGTATGTATATTATGTACTGCTCACTGGCACCACGCGACGTCTGGACCTAGAGTTGCCATGCAAGTTGCAATGCATGCATTCCATAACTGACAGTTTACTAGGGCCATTGCATGGCATGTAATGACGAGTGCTCGTTTCTTTGTGTGCACGCGTGCTTGCGTGCATACTTGCAGCTGACTGCCCGAGCATGGAGGGATATATAGCCACCCCGATGTGGACCTCAATGTCAACCCGGATGTGGAATACGACTGCATGGTGGGGTGTGCCTTAATTCTCATGTTGCTTGCGTATGTGGCCGACATATCCTGCGCTAGTAACTAATACTGTTTAGGCTTATGGTCTTCTACGGCTAGTTGCTGCATGCATGTTGCTTAACAACACTGTCGTCGGCCGATCGCCTTTCCATCTACTCTGCAGTCCTTCAGTCCATCAAGGTTGTCCCTTCCTTCATCACCGAAACGGCGCCGCTGCTTTTTCCTTCACCCCTTTTACAACGACAAATATGGTGCGTTAAATATGTGACTGGGCCATTCATCGCGACGCCAGGCCATTGCTTCTACACACCAGGTGCGCCTGTCTTGTTTGAGAGCCTGATTGCGTTCCACAAGCGACTGCCAACTAGTATGGTAGTAGATAGTGCTGAGGTAAACTGCTGCATGTGACCTAGCTCCATCCCTGCGCACGGCACGCTTTTGCCATGCATGCATACATACGCGGTCATTAATAGTTGCTCACTTGGAATTTCATCCTAAGGCATGCATGCACGCACGCCCACGGCACATGTACATCGAAGCTTCCTTATCAAGCTTATATATCATTATATAAGCTTCTTGCATATGCTACATACTAATGTATTATCCTGCTGGCAGTTATTAAGTCGCCTACCCTCCGCCCTCCCTACTGCCTTTGACAGCACCAAGTCTGCCTTCCCCGCCTCCAAGTCCCCCACCCTCGCCCCCGCCCTCCCCGCCTCCGAGTCCCCCACCTTCGCCCCCGCCTTCCCCGCCTCCGAGTCCTCCACCTTCGCCTCCGCCTTCCCCGCCTCCGAGTCTCCCACCTTCGCCCCCGCCTTCCCCCCTCCGAGTCCCCCACCCTCGCCCCCGCCTTCCCCGCCTCCGAGTCCCCCACCCTCGCCCCCGCCTTCCCCGCCTCCGAGTCCCCCACCTTCGCCCCCGCCTTCCCCGCCTCCGAGTCCCCACCTTCGCCCCCGCCTTCCCCCTCCTCCCCCCCTCCCCCCCTCGCCCCGTCCTCCCCCTCGCCCCCCGCCTTCCCCGCCTCCGCCCCCCTCCTCACCCTCGCCCCCGCCTTCCCCGCCTCCGAGTACCCCACCATAGCCCCGCCTTCCCCGCCTCAAACGCTCCACCTCGCCCCCGCCTTCCCGACTCCATCACAGGTCGCCACCCCCTCCTCACTCCTCCCCACGTTCAAGGCCGCCACGGGTCAACAGTCACAGTTTACCGCATAGCCATGTTCCCTTTCCCAACGCCACCCCATTCGCCAGGCACCCAACCCATCAGCCCCGCCGCCCCTCCCTGTCCACACCCCTGGCTACTGCAAGACACACCACCACCTTCAATCCCATCTAGCATCCTTTTCCTCCTCCTCCCGTTCCTTGGCTAATAACACCTTCACCCTTATCTCTTCCCTCATCAACCCGCGCCTCCGCCGCCCGCCTACACCAGCAGTCCCTTTCTCGCCTCCGCCTCCTCCCTCCCCGACACCGCCCCCACCTCCTCCCTCCCCGACACCGCCCCCACCTCCTCCCTCCCCGACACCCGCCCCCACCTCCTCCCTCCCCGACACCACCCCCCACCGCCTCCCTCCCCGACACCGCCCCACCTCCTCCCTCCCCGACACCACCCCCACCTCCTCCCTCCCCGACACCACCCCCACCGCCTCCCTCCCCGACACCAACCCCCACCTCCTGACGCGGTGATGTACTGGGCTACATCGGGCTGCTGGTCCCAATGTAAGTGGATATGGCTGGCTAGGGATACTGGGTCTCCATCAAGGATTCAGCATGGGACATCAGCATGCGCGGAGCGAGGCTAGCTAGGTACATAGCTCGATAGCTCTCGATTACCTGCAAGCAGTGCATGCATGCTGGGTCAGCTAAAGCAGTAGTGTGCAGCATGTGTGACCCCGCCCCCAACACAGCAGCCCGATGATCTTCCTTGCTTGTCGGTATGTTGTTGCATGATGACCCGGCGCACTTATACCGGTATGCTTGCAAAATGAGGTGTCGAATGGTTGCATGCAGCTTGTACATACAGGAATGCACTCTGATCCCATGCGCACCGCACGCACTGCGTGCGAAGCCTTGGATGGCGGCCCTACCTAGCCAGCTTCCTGTCTTGGTTCGTTGTCCTTTTTTCCTACCGTGCTCGCACGCCTCTTTTGGTGCTATCTAGCCGCCGTCCTGCCTCATGGCCTCCTCTATCCACCTCCGCTCCTCTATCTCTTCTTTCTCCTCCTTCCATTACCATACCACGCACGCCGCCCCTCCCCTCCCAGGACCCATCCGGCTCCAGCACCAGCCCTGGCTCCGTGAGCCGCCTGGTGGGGGCGCCTGGTGCCGATGTGACCAGGAAGAGCCGCACATGCAAGGCAGCTGCTCCCCTCGCCTGGGTGCCGACACTCGCGGTAAGCAGCGAGTCTGGGGCTGCCGGGGCACAAATTGAAGCCCTGGCATCTATATCACCAATTACGTTAAATAGATAGATAGGCGGACTTGCTTGTTTGGCTACGGTACCTATCTACCATGCATAGAGCAGGTGATGACTATCGATCGCTAATCTTGCTTGCTTGGTGTATGTGTTGGGTCACACAAGGGAGGTATGTAGGATGGGGAGGGAGCGAGAATGATGAGCCATTTGATATTGACCGCAGCACTCAGCTAGATGGCAGCACGCAAGCAGCAGCACCTCGCAGCTGTCCTGAATCGCATGCAGGCACATAGATGTGTACGGCCCGCCCTGCGTACCATGCCTTCCTTCCATATCCCTGCTAGCTGCTGTATGTGTGTCGCCCTACCTGGTGCATATCCGGCTCCAAGAGGACCATGTCCTGCAGACCGGTTTGCAAGATTAACAAGTAAAGTAACCGTCGCGCTCGCTCAGACGCCCACACACCAACACATACATCTATCGACTGCTGCTCGCTCCATGCATGCACCTATCCAGGCTCCCCGTACCTTGGCGGTCTACTTCAACCAGACCCCGGCTGCCAAGGTGGGCCAGGTGGGGGCGGTGGCGCTCTACGTGCTCAACAAGGGCAGCCTCGACCCCGCCATCACCGCCATCGACCTGCTGCTGCAAACGGTAGGTGCCCAGCGAGCAGTCACGAGGCGGGCAGCGGTAGGGTTGCTATTAAGGATGGATGCATGGGGGAAATCCAGGCAGCAGCTGTGTGGATGGCCAGCACAATCTACCGTCCGGACACACGCACCTGCTGCTGCCTGCACCTGCACCTACCCGCCCTGCCTCGGCGGCTGATGCTTCCTTGCTTATCGCTGGGGTGCTGTAACATACCGGTACACGAGGATGAATAGATAGCATGCAGTGGATGAACGACCGTCACAATGGTTTCCTAATGGGGAACACGAACGGGTGATGAACCCAACCCTACACTGCAAGGGAAACACGGGTAGCATGTAGGGGTATGTACGACAGCTAGCCCCACGTGCCCGCCCTTTAGTTGCTGCCGGCAGAAACACGCACGCACCTGACCGCTGCTTCTCCCTACCGATCACCCACCCAGCAGGCCTCCACTCAGCAGCAGCAGTGGGCTACCATGTACACGGGTGGGCAGGGGCAGCGGCCGCAGCTGACATGCCCGGGACTCAACCACTTCCCACTGTCAGCCGCGGCGCTGGCAGCAGTGCAGCCGCAGCTGACGTCAGCGGAGGTGCTGGCGGCCGAGGTGGTGGGGGTACGGCTGCATGTCAACGAGGACCACCTTACCAACAAGGCGGACCTGCCCCACCTGGCGGCTGTAGGACTGAAGCTGCTGCAGACCTGATGATGCCCATGCATGCATGTATGCTCGTCGACCCCGCCCTGTTCATCACCCACAGCTACGTACTGCAGGAGACAGTGTTTTGGCGTTTGTCCATTGATGGGGTTCCCAAGGAAGAGGGTCGGTGTTTGCGGCGGGCTCGTGTGCGTGAGTCCGGTTCTGTGGGCGTTGTACCTGGGCTTGCTGATCTAGTTGCCCTGCTGTCTGCTGTTTTGGTGTCAGCTTGGTTTCAAGGAAGCGTTTTGGCGTCTTCCTATTGATGGGGTTCCCTTGCTGGGGAATTCTCATATGTCTAGGGCTCGTCCGGAATGTTGTGGTTGTGGGTCCGTTGTCTTGGGGGTGTCTCCGCGGTTGCATTTTTCTGGGCTTGTCCTGTTGCTCGTGCTGTGGTTGAGCAGCTTGAGGTAACGCTGGGTGTTGCGGTTCCTCGGGCTGCCTTGTGGTTGGCGTTGCCTCCTTCGGGCGTGCAGCAGTGCGTTTGGGATGTTGTTGTTTTGGCTGCTTTGTCCGCTATGGAGGAGGGTCGGGCGGTTGTTACGGGCTCGTGTACGTGAGTCCGGTTCTGCGGGTGTTGCGTCTGGGCTTGCTGATGTGGTGGCCCTGTCTGCTGTTTCCTGGTTCTGGGGTCAGCTTCGGGGTTTTGCTTGTTTGGGTGTTCCCCGTCGGGGATGGGCTGGGGTTGGCCCTTTTCATCCTTTCTTACGTTTTGTTGGCGGGCGGCTTTCTGTGTGCCGTTGAGCGTCCTGTTTTTGGCCCTGATGTCTTTGGGGTGGTGTGTTCGTGGCTTCCGGTTTGGGTTGTCTTATGCCCTAGATGAGGTTTGTCGAGGTTTGCTGAGGGGCCCTTTTTTGGCTTCTACCCTCTTGTTTCCCTCCTGTGGTTTCTTTTAGGGCTATGTATCCCATCTTGTTGGCCCGTTGTGGTGCTGTCTCTACGGTTTGTTTCGTTTCTTTTGCAATGTAGGGTTGGGTTCATCACCCGTGTTCCCTTTTAGGGCACCAATGTAACGGTCATTCATTCAGCTCCCGGGTTTTACTTATTTGGGCACCAATGTAACGGTCATTCATTCAGCTCCCGGGTTTTACTTATTTGAGTGTTCCTCGTCGGGCGGGCGGGGTGGGCTGATCTTGGCCCTTCTCATCCGTTCTTACGTGTTAGTGGTGGGGCGCTTTCTGCTGTATTCGGTTGGTTGTTCGGTTTGGCCCCGTTTTCAGTTTGCGAGGTAGGGTGCCCCAGGCACCGTCTGCTGGCGTTTGAACGTATACCTAATCATGTTGGGGTCCGGCTTTGAGGGCGATGTTGTCATGGTTCCTGGGTTGTGGTGTTTTTGGGGTCTGTGTATGTATGCGCCTGTTGCCCTAGTGCTTCCCGAGGTTTGCTGCTGAGGGGCCGTTTCTTGGCTTCTACCCACGCTTTTTGGCCTGCCCTTGATTCTAGGCGCTCCGATAGGCCGCGCCGTGGAAGCAAGGGAAAAGCCTTAGGGAACACCCTGGACTTAAGGTCCACGCAAAATTTCCTATTTAGGGAACATCGCGCACGAAGCCATAACATTGTAACTGTTTCCAGACTATTGCTAAATGTAAGCCACGGTACCTTGAAGAACAGTTGTTTGCACGCGCAGACAACATTGGTATGGGGCATGGGCATAACGTTGGTGTTATGTGGTGCTACTGTGAATGTTGGGAACAACGACCGAATGTGTTTTCCAGTTGTCTGTTGTGAAGGTGCAACGTTGCTGTTAGGAAAGGGGCTGTCGTACACGTGCTTTCTTACAGTGGCGCAAGAGCGACGACCCTAAATGGTACCAGGATCCAAAGTCGGACGAGCTCGTAGCGAGGACGTTATCAACACAAAGTAGCGCATCTTGTCAAGATTTAAACACCACTAGACAGGGGATATGACAGTTAAATAGAAAAACGTAGAGCGCCTGTTAATTGTGATGCTTTGCTCAGCAGCCCTACGGGCTGCTCCTTGACGCATTCCTAACAACTGTAGGTAGTTCAGTAGAGAACGAGGAACACTACTAAGATAAGCCGTCGGCCAGGATACCCATGTCTGCGGCCTAGCCTGAGAATCGCTCGTCATGGCCCAGCGTGGTGCATGGTTGTCTACTAGGTTACTGTTGTTTCGTACCGGGAGGGCAAATTATGGAACATTGCCAGTTATCGTGTCATCTTAAACTTCGGCAAAGGAACATTAATGGAGCGGTTAGGGATGGATATCCACCGGGCGAAGGGGAGGCTAAGGCAAGTGGTGATGCACGGGCAGGCGTCTGCGTCTATGGCTGTCTCCGCAAGGAAGCGGAGGAGATGCAGGCGGTAGTCAACGCGTTCTTACACACGCCCAACCCGTCATCCCAGCCCGTGTAGCCATCCATCCGTCTTGTGAACCCCCCTACCTTCACACCCCGCACCTTCCTACGCTCCCCCCTTGTGTTGCCATCACCCACACGCTCTGTGTCCAAACGATCACAGCCAAACCGAGCACAGCCCAATCCCCCCCTAACCTGTGGTTTTGGTATATCTTGTGTTTCCTTACCCTACCCCACCGGTTGGTTGAGTCCCCTTGACCCCTTCCTTCGCACCCCATTTCTTACCACGTCCCCCACGTGCATTGCCGTCACTTCAACGCTGCCCTACGCTCCCAAATGCTGTACCCTCTCCTTCCCTCCGCATGCCGCCCCCAACGTCACCTCATCCCACGTAGTTCTCAATGACTCCATCCCTTCCCCAACCCCTCCTGCCGCAGCCCAATCATGGCTGCTGTATGTGCTGCCGCCAACAGACGCCCCCCCGGTACTCCATGCTGGTTGAGACGGCTGTAAGGACATATGGCCAGGGAGTAGCGTAAAAGGATACCACTACCAGAAGCAAAGCTTAAGTTTCGAGGCATCCAACTGGCGCATCCTCAGGATTTGCGCTGCACTGGGTATCCTGGTCACGAAGGTATTCAAGAACCTTTCCTTGTTGTGTACTTAATCAATTAATAAGCGTTGGATTTCGAAAGGATGTAGCCCGTAGGGCTCCTTAGCTGACCGTCGCAATAGACAGCTTCCCAACGCTTTTTGGCAAGTTGAACGTATTTCCTGTTCAGAAATGTTGATTATAGCCAAGATGCTTAAGCCGGGGTTGATAAGCGTCCTCGCTACGAGCTCGTCCGACTTTGGATCCTGGTACCATTTAGGGTCGTCGAGACCCCTCATGCCCGCGGGATCGGGTGACTTTTGCGGAAAAGTCAGCCGTAAAAGTCATCTTCAAACACGGTGACTTTTACCCTTAGTAGCTTAACAATAGATTGTTAGATATAGGCTAATAGTTGACTTTTAGGCTGCTTGTTTAGCGCTAATACGTTCACTTGTTCGTATGCATGCGTTGCCATCCACCACAGCAACAACCTACATACCTCCAGCCTTATTCCTGTTGCCTCCTTTAAGCTTTTTATACGCTCAGCGGCCATTCATATCTCAGGTGTCGATAGGAAAGCGTAGGCCTAACCCCGGGGTCATTCAGCGAGATTTCCGTTGCATAAGCGAGCCTCCTACCTCCCCATTCCCTTGCCCGTGCGGCCGCCCTTCCACACGCGACGCCTGCCAGCCCCTGGCTTTCCCCGTCGCGGCACCTGACTCTTCATACCTCTCCTCGTGTGGCGCCCTGCTGCTACCCTGCCTTTCCCGTGCTGTGCTTGCCTTCCAATGCCCTTTTCCCGTGCATCTGCCCTTCCCCGTGCGGCCCTGTCTCCCCCTGTCATTGCCCGTTCCTCGAATTTACTGAACGGATGAACGGTCGCTACTATGTTCGTTTAATGGCTCTTCCTCGTGAAGCTTCTGTCCCCAAGTCCCCTCATTCCTGCACGCATATGCACCAGTTTAGGAGCACGGCAGGGCGCTGGCCTGGGTAATTCACTAGGACAGGGGGTGTCTGTATGCGCATGCATCCAACAGTTCGATAGTTGGGCGCGACTAGTGTGCGTACGACCATGGGCGCCGGTAGTTGGGCATGTATACAGGCATCGGCACTGATGCACGGGTGGGTGCGTGGGAATTGCCTGGTCGCAGGTGGTTGGGAGGGGCGGTCATGCTTGCGCTCGTGGGTGCCGGTTCCTGGCAGGACGAGAGGATGTCTGCACGCTTGAGCACAGACAGCTGGAAAGGGTGGGATGCATGCGCATGTGAGTGCCAATAACTAGTGCTGCTGCTCGCGGCGTGGATGTTCATGAAAGCTGTGTGGGCTATGTTCACATGGGGCTCATCATAAATATGCTGGGCACAGGGCCCTTCACATCGCGCTGCACGGAAAAAGGCATGGGAAGCAGAACTCGCGTGTAGGGAGGGCCAGGAGGACGATAGGCGCTGCACGGGAGGGAGGGTAAAAATAAGGAAAACTGACAAACTGGATGATGAGGCACGGGAGGGGGGGCAGGTGCAACGCAGGAAAGAACAGGGTTCAAGGCCGCATGTATATTGCTATGCGAACAGTGCCATACGTACTGTGACAGCCGGACGCGTCGTCAACAGTCGGATGTTCCGAGAGGCGGACGCTTCAATGAGGCAACACATACCCACGGATGGACATGCACGTGGACAAACTCCTCACCCCGCCAAACCATGGTGCATGTGCATACCTACTGCGTGATCGAGAGGCACGGGGGATGTGCGGTCCTTTTACCGCATGTTTGGCCACAGACGTTGGGCGTAAGGCGGTCATCAGCGTACATGGTGTCAGTTAGTCAGCAGCATGCAGCAGGGTGCATTGTGGTCGACATGTGGGTCTTTGGGCCCTCTGACGTTATAAGGGTTATAAGCCTGGACGTCCCAGACAGCACGCGTTGCAGCAGCGGCCAAGTGTTTAGCTAGCTATCAACGGTTCCCTTTGGCTATATGTAGCCGGCCGCGCTTTGGGTTTTTGCACATACATGTAAGCGCTGTGCCGCGCATGGTGATGGGTGGTGGATGGATACTTCGTTTTGTGCGTGTGTGCTTCCATTTTGCCATCCAACAAAGGGGTTTTCAACTTTACAAAGAAGGGTCTTTACCCTCCCATACAGCGCGTCAGCTCTTCCGGTGCTGAAAAGGCACGGGTACACATGTGGAGGCAGTATGACAAAAGCGCCCCTACCTCTGGTGTGGCAGAGAAGAAATGAGGGGTAAAGCACAGGGCAGGTCGAGCAGGTGAAGCATCGGGAAGGGCCGCGGGGAGGCAGGCGCCACACGGGGAAGGGCATAGAAGTCCCTCAGAGGGCCGCAGCGGCACCATACGGAGGAGGGCATTGACACTGGCGCCGACGGGGCCCACGGGGAAGGGCATGGGAATCCCACGGGAGAACAAGCGGTATTGCGCAGGGGCAGGCACACAGGTAGGCTGGGGCCGTGCAGAGACGGGTCTAAGGACGCAAGCGCCGCACAGGGAAGGGCAGGGAGGGGCAGGTGCTGCACATAAACGGGCGTCGGGAGGCAGGCCTCGGGCTGGCAACGTCATGGAGAGGCAGGCACGGTACGGGGAAGGGCATAGGGAGTTGGGAACCCAACCAGGGGCCGCGAAGCGCATGGGAAGGCAAACGCCGCGCATAGAAGGCATGACGGTGGTAGGCACAGAACTGGCGGGGGAAGCGGCAAGGGAGACAGGGGCTGCACGAGGGGAAGGCAGGCGTTGCACGGGGACAGATAAGAGTAGCACCCGTTCCCGCCTCCCCAACATCCATGGCCCCGCGGTATGATTCACAGTTGTTAGGTTACATGACCTATCCTTTGGACGTGGGCATTTAGTCGCTGAAGGACCCCGGGGCTAGCCTGCGCTTTCCTATCGACACCTGCCATATGTAGTGGTCGATGAGCGTGTAAAAGCTTAAAGGTGAGTAAGGCTGGATGTTTGCAGGTTGCTGTGGTGGTGGGTGGCTTCGCATGCAGAAAAAAAAGTAACGTGTTAGCTCAGGAGCTGCGAAGTAAGCAGCCTAGAAGTCAACTATTAGCCTATATCTAGCAATCTACTGTTAAGCTACTAAGGGTAAAAGTCACCGCGTTTGTAGATGACTTTTACGGCTGACTTTTCCGCAAAAGTCACCCGATCCCGCGGGCGTGGGGCCTGTGGGTCGTCGGCGCAAGAGTGCTCGTACCCCTTAAGGGACTCTGAGGTCGTACAGGGCCTCCTGGCAGCGTGCTGTGCTCGCTGTGCTCAGAAGCGTGCTATGAAACATCTTAGAAGGAAAGCAATTCCATATCTTTCTCTGTAAGTGCAGCCCATTTGGTATTCACCTCGCAATCGAAGGCTTAACATAAGTCATTGTCCTTTACCTTATGCAATGAAGTTATAATAACATGTAACCAAACATGAGTGATTCAGATGTAGTGTAGGTCTCCTAGTAGCTGAACACTCCGACGATAAAGCCGAAGCATTCCTTCGCGGTGCTCTCGGGTCAGATGGCAGCGGCGGTTATGAATCTGGGCATGGTAAAAACACCCTCGTTATTGTCGTAAAGAGTACTTTCCGAATATGTGCTTACCTGAAATCACGATTCCGGACCCCCCCTCCCGCACATGCCTCGAGCCTACCCTTGAGCCCCCTCCAAGTGCATACCCGCTTTTTCCGTCGCG